GGTGCGGCTATCAGGATGTCGCTGATGTCCTCGTAGTTCTGTCTGGCGCTCCATTCCTTGGGAGGAATGATCTTAGCCACGCCTGCTCGATGTGCACCGTGGGATTCCATGTGGGCAATATATTTGTCGAAATCGTTAAATTCTTCTTTGGTTGGACGAAATACCATTATGGTACAAGTAGGGTTCTGAGGAGCGTTGCACTTAGACTTCATAGTTAATGAGCAGCCACTGCCTAAGTTCTCAGTACGTTTTAGATTGAGAGCTGAGGGTGCTGGGAAAGGGTATTAAAAAGAAAGGGGTTGGGCTAGTTGTGAGGCAGCAGGAACCACCAGCAGACTTTGAAGCAAATGAGATGATCACCCTCCGTGGGTGGCTGCTCTGCAGGGGGTGGGAAGGCGGCCTGGCTCTGCTTTGGAAAGCAGCTATGCTCTGGCACGCATGAGGTGTGAGCCTGCAACTCTGTGCTGGTTCTCAGGTGGTGCCTGGCCGTCCTCTTGAGATTACTGAACCACCTAGACCTGGGATTCTGTAGCAGAATGTGCCTTCCTCAAGATTGTGTTTATGTTTAAAGAGAAGCCTAAAAGAGAGAATACATTTAATTTCATTAATACAGTGAGTTTCAAAATTAAGGATCAAAAGTTATTATTGGACTACAAATTAAAAATCACAATGGGACCGGGACCTTACTACACATTCAACTAAAAAAAACCCCAAAAACCTCACTAAGTGAATCATTACAATCGCAATGGACTATCAGGTTGGAATTATCAAGTAAAACTCAATACATACATGTGCTGTGATCCAACTGTTTCTTTCCCATGCCTAAGAAATCGGTACTGAAATGCACTGGAAGGTCTATCCAAGAGGTTCATAACATTATTTCTAGTAACCAAATCTGGAAACCCAACAAAAGTCCATAAGTAGTAGAATGGATCAGTCTACTATGGTATAGTCATTAAAGAAATAACATACAGCAATAAAACAATTACTTTCCATCCCACTAATCACAAAAATTTAATTTGTAAAAAAAATAATTAAATTTGTGCTTGTTGAAAATCTTTAAATTTTTATCAAGGGGAAACAGTTTTTCAAACAAACCTAAAATTCTAATTGGCAACAATTTATTTAGAAAAATAGTAATTTTCTCTATCTGTTTGAAAATCCATCTATTTCTTCCTGCTTCCCTAGAAGCTGACCCTTGCTGATAACAGTCCTCAAAGCAGGTTGGTGTTTTCATTTTAATTTCATTAATACAAATTTGAGTTGTTCCTTAACTCTATTTGCGAATACTCTTAAAAGGAGTCCTCAGTGGACCATCGCAGCTAATTAAAAGGTTGATGGTTTGAACGTAATAAGTGGCTCCACAGAGAAAAGACCCGGCTTTCTGTCCCCATAAAGATTACTCCCAAGAAAACCCATACTGGGCCGGCAGTTCTACTGTGTCTCACAGGATCACTATGATTCCAAAGTCAACTTGATGGTACCTAGCCACTCTAACAACAACATACTGCCTTGAGTTGAATCTGACTCATAGCAGTCCTCTACAGGGTTCTTAAAGCTGTAAATCTGTATAGGAGCAGATGGCCTCATCTTTCTCCCAAGGATTGACTGTGGGCTTGAGCCACTCACCTTGAGGTTAGCAGTCCAATACTTCCCCAGCAGTGCCATGGGGCTCCTTTGTGGTGCCACCTGGTAAGTGTTAGATGACAAGCCATGAGGAGGGTCATTCAAACTGACTAGTCCACTCCAGGGAGAACGATGAGGCCATTTGCTCCAGTAAAGATTTACAGTTTCATAAGCCCCATGGGGTCATTATGAATTGGAATCTAATTGATGGCAGTGGGTTTGGTATTTTTAATCCAAACAGCAACAATCCTCTTTAAAAAAAGAAAAAGAAAAAAAGTTGCCATCATGTTGATTGAGACTTATGTTGACCCCATGTCTGTCAAAGGCGAAATGTGTGCTCCAAGTGGTTTTTAATGACTGGCTTTCGGATAGATTTCCAGGCCTTTCTTCCACAGTACCTCTGGGTAAACTCAAACCTCTGACCTTTCTGCCATTAGCTGAGCATGTTATCTGTTTGCACCACCCAGACCTTTGATAATTTATTCGTTTTTCTATTTTCCACCTTCCTCTCTTAGCAAAGGTCCTACACATACCTACCCTACTCCACTTAGAATCCTTGAAATGTCCTAAAATTCCATAGATGTGAAACGGATCACCATTACCCCTTGGTCCCCAAGCCTTTCTTACTTTATCTTCCTCTCTCTAATTCTAACCACATTCCTTGCTATGTCTCAAAAAGGCCAAGTATGAGCCTGTCTTATGGCCTCCGCCTGCGGCAACTCTCTTACCTCTTTCCAGCCTTAGTTCTTCAACTGCTCCTTAAGGTCTACATTGAGAGTCTTATTTAAATTGCACCCTTCCTCCCCTCCCTTCCTTTTCCATTGTACTTACCTACTTCAAATACACTATCACATATTCAATGAGTTAAAACAAGCCTCATCTTTTTCTAAAGGTGTGACTGGTTGTTTTGAACTGCTGACCTTGAGGTTAGCAGCCCAACACTGAACTACCATACCACCAGGGCTCTGTATGAGCTTTAAGAGGCAGGGGAAATTTTTTTCTTTCCTATTGCTGTATTCCAAGTACCAAGAATAGTACTTCAACCATTAATATGCTCAATTATTATTTGTTGGATGAATAGATTATTATGCATATCTGGTTATTTTAAATTCCTATTTAAAATGATTATTTAGTTGGTATTTTTCAATGAAGATGCTATTGTACTTTTTAAAAAGCAACTGTGTTATTCAAAGTCAGGTTCCCAGCCCTTTACACTCAATAACATTCATGCTTCCTAAAGTCAGAGATTATCCCTTCTTTGCTCCTGAATTTAATTGGGGAAAACAACAACTTTCTGATGTAAAAATGACTACTTATTCTAGTTACACTTGAAGCAAGCAAAAGAGAACAGAATGAAAACCTAAAAAGTCTTATTTCAAATCAAAACCCTCCAAGGGCCCAGAGATATTTTTTCTCTCAGGAAAAACCTATAAATAAAACACATGCTCATGATCAGGCCCTTCAGTGTCAAGAATTTAGTTAATTTTTAATGTCAAGAATTCTAATGAAACCCCAACCCTAACCTGAATCCAATCAGCTACCCAAGGTGCCTTCCAATGGAACCACCTGCCCTGTTCTAGGAAATGATTTCATCTTCCATGTTAACCCACAAAGCACAAATATTTCCCCAAATATTTTTATTTAAGACACCTATGAAAAAAGAGAAGGCTGCCAACCCTCACAAATCAAGTCTGAAATTATATTTTAAAAGATAAAAAAGAATTTGCAAACTCACAGACTTGGCTCCCTCCACAACCAAAGCTGTAGAGATTGCTCACTCTCGCCCCTCAATGGCTTCGGACTCCCGGGACAAAGTAAACTGCCCCGGGAGGGTCTGCTGCTGTACATCTTCCTGGGACTCTCTCTCACTGCCTTCCAGTCAATGCTGACTCATAGCGACCCCCACCCCTGGTTTCTGAGACTGTAACTTCGAGAGTAGGAAGCCCATTCTGTCTCCCTCAGAGCTGCTGGTGGATTCGAACTCTGACCATCTGGAGCACAGCCCAACTGGGAACCACTACGCCACCAGGAGTCCTTTAGGAATTGTCAGAAGGCGTCACATAACTGATTAGAGTGGAATGGCTGGAAAACAAGCAGTTAATGAGGGGCAACTCTGACAGCAACATTATGGGGCCGGGTTGGTTACGGGACGACGACTCACGATTGCAAGATAAATTATTCAGATGCCCCTGTCAGGCAGAGGCGTTTTAAACATACCTAGTCCAAGAAATCAGAGGAGACTTCCTATCCCACTGCACTCCATTGACTGTGACAGATAGAAACTATGTGACAGAGTAGAACTGCTCCTAGGGTTTCCAAGACTAAATCTTTTGAGGAGCAGACAGCAGCATCAAAACACAACTACGCTCTGGCTCATAGCCCAGCACGTAACCACCGCACCAGCAGGCCTCCAGGAGACTTCCCACCTGGAGACACCTTAGCAAAGTAGTAGGGAAATGCCTGTTCCTACTTTGGAACAAATTCCCAGGAAACTTGCCAGAAACCAAGAACCAATCTGGGTTTTGTGGGGCCTGAACCTTATAGAAATTTGGGGTCCTCTATGGTACACAATGGTGATAGCTGAGAGTAAATTACAGCTACATACAGGAAAGTTAACACAATTGTCAGAGTGCAAAACCAACATTAGCATTCAGGTCTGCATGAGAACCGTGAGGAGACCCAAAGCTCACCTGTAGATAATTGGACATCCCCTTACAGAAGGGTCACAAGGAAGAGAAGCCAGTCAGGGTGCAGCACAGCACCTATGAAACATACAACTTTCCTCTCCTTCAGTGATTCTCAACTTTCCTAATGCTGCGACCCTTTAATACAGTTCCTCATATTGTGGTGACCCCCCCCCAACCATAACATTATTTTCGTTGCTACTTCATAGCTGTAATTTTGCTACTGTTATGAATCGGGCGACCCCTGTGAAAGAGTCATTCGACCCCCAAAGGGGTGGCAACCCACAGGTTGAGAAGCGCTGCTCTAGTTCTTTAATGTTCCGACCCCCGCCAATGACCCGAATTCTACCTTAGAAATCAGGCTAGAACAGAGCATATACACAGGTAGATAAGATCTAGAAACACAGGGAATCCATGGCAGAGAAACCCCTCAGGACCAATAATGAGAGTAGTGATACCATGAGGTTAGGGGGTTAGGGGAAGATGGAGGTAGGGGGAAGAGGGAACTGATCACAATGATCTATATATAACCCCCTCCCAGGGGACGAACAACAAAGAAGTAGGTAAAGGGAGACATCAGGTCAATGTAAGACATGAAAAAATAAAAATTTATAAATTATCAAGGGTTCATGTGGGAGGGAGGGGAAAAAATGAGCTGATATCAAGGGCTCAAGTAGAAAGAAAATGTTTTGAAAATGATGACAACAAATGTACAAATGTGCTTGACACAATGGATGCATGTATGGATTGTGATAAGAGCTGTATGAGCCTCCAATAACATGATTTTTTAAAAGACTTGTAAGAATGGCCCTCCTCAAAAAAATTTTTTAAAAGAACCGAGGGGAGGAAGAAAAGAATGCAAAGGGCGGAGGAGAGGAGCTCCCGAGGAAGGTGGCACCCTATTTCCTTTAGGGATCAAGGCTCTTCTAGACCTTGTCTTAAAATCCTCCCAACAACAAAGCAAAAGGTCAACTTACTTGCACCTCAAACTAGACAGCCTCCATAGCTTCCGTCTTCCCAGCCAGTCCTGGCTCAAGAGGTCTTCTAACCAGCCCAAGAGCCATTCAGACAGAAGCTGGCCTGAGGTCCAATCCTCTACCTCACTCATTCCTCAGGGAGGTCACCACCTTTGGCTTCTTTGCCTAAGTTAAAAAAC